GTGTCCTCATTTACCCAKTCACACAGCACTYTACCAGATCTCCTACAAAACTAACATGTACAACCAGCTGTGGAGACTAATCAGTGCCAGTCACATCCATACACTGATGGGACACACATCAGAGGCATTAGGGGTGAAGTGTCTTGCCCAAGGACACAACAACTGAGACAGCTGGATGGGGGATTGAACCGGCGATCTTCCATTTCCAGTTCTACCTTTTAAATAGTAAACACATATTATTATCATTATTATTATTATTATTATTATTATTATTATTATTATTATTATTATTATTATTATTATTATTATTATTATTATTATTATTATTATTATTATTATTATTATTATCCGAAATGTGTGATAAATTTACTTTTTTTCTTCTTCTATTTTGCATTAATGACAAGTTTCCTGCTCTTTGCTTTACATACGCACAGATTTGGGGTTGTCATGGCAATAGCAGCACCTAGTGTGTCAGTGGGTCTTGCATTCTTTGTGTGTGTGGATGTGTGTGGATTTTTGCGCATGGCAAAACGGGGAGTGGAGCCCCACTTATCCCCCCCCCCCCTTCCTCCCGACCCCTGCCTCCCTCAGTGTTGCAGCTCTTTCAGAGGGGGGCGGGGCCTGTTTCACTGCAGAGAGGATGCTCCTGATGGACCAACCAGTCTGGAAACCCCTGCTCTCGCTCTCACGCTCACGCTGACTGCAGTACGAGTCCCTCGAGTGTCTGTGCTCCCCCCTCTCTCTCTCTCTCTCTCTCCTCTGCCTTGTCCTCTGACACCCTCTCCTCTTCTCTCCTCTCCTCTCTCCTCTCCGACGCTCCATCCTTCACGGCTCTGACTCACTGGGTTCTCATCTTCTGAGCCGAACGACAAGGACCTGGGATCATGTCCTCCAACKTGCCCTCTGGGTCCGCAGCCGGGGCCAAAAGCAAGTCCCCRTCCTCCTACAAGAAGAGGGGCAGCCTGCAGTACGCGACCAGTACAGGTGAGTGGAGGGAGGTGTGAGGAGGAGTTTCACTTCAGCTGCAGAGCAATGTGCACATTATTATTAGATTCATCTGAGAGGGTGAGCGAGAGAAAACTCATGCATCACTCTCTCCTCTTGCAACAGTTGGGAAAAGGCAAACCTGTTGATCAGGAAGGTTAACCATTTTTTAAAATAAATTATATTCTGCAGGTTCCTGGAAACCGTGCTGGCTTCTAGTTGTTGTTTTTTTTTCTGTATTATTTATAGATCTAGAACACAGGCATATCACTGTTTCTCTGATAAGACACTGACAAAACAATTTTAACGTTGCATAAYTTGTTTTCCTCAGGTGAAACCTAATTTTTTTCCCAGCTGTTTAAACTGAAGGCTGAAATGCAGCTTTGACCTCTCTCTGTTTGAGAGGATTTTGAACGCTTTTGCAGGGCTTTTTTTTTCCCCCTTCGGAGGAAGAACTTGTTGCTCAAAAGTGACGGCACTGCCTGCTGCTCAGCCTGGTCACAGCGTGTGGTTTAGACAGAATCTGTATTTTGGTACCTCAGGACTTTGTCCTCAGCTGAATGAGAGGATTAGCCTGAACTCTGATGTATGCACATGTTGGTCAGCCTTTCATCCATCCTACAAAGAACCGGTGTCACGTCCTGGTGCGGCTACATTTTCTCTGAAATGCAAAACTCGTTTATTGGGTTTGTTGGAAAGGCAGAAAAATAAGCACAGACGTGTTTTGCGCTTGTGTGAAACATTTAAAGCACAGTTTGCCTCATTTTGTCCAAATTTAAGCTTTCAAGCGTTGCCTTTCATAAGGGAGACATGAAAACGTGGTGAGATATTTTCCACTCCGCTGCAGCTTTTCTTTTTTTACGAGAGGTGAATATTAATAACCTGAAGGGATGMGATGAGCCAAAATAAAATATTTTTCTTTGTACATTACAAATAGTATCTGAGATATTCAATAAAGAGAGACTAGATTAGCTGTTTTATTCTAAACAACAAAATCAGTCTCAGATATTATTCAACACATTATTTACACAATAAATCTTGTAAGATTTTCCAYATGTCACCACTGAAAACAATTAGTCACACCCTGTGGCATTTCATCGATGACCAACATGGTTCCAGATTCATTTTCATCACCGACATCAAACACAACAGGAAGTCAGAGCGATTCACCAGCTCCCTAATCAGGATGTTTGCACCAATTTACCCACATTCACAGCTTATAGATGAATGTGTCAGTACTAAAATTGCTCTCATGCAGGGAAAAAGAATATAGTTGAGATGCAGTGTTAACACATTTATTCAGTTTTTTTTTAAAGGAAGCTCAGATTCAGTTCTGGAGCCTGTAAGGTTTGAATTTAGCCAGTCTCTGCAGACATATACATGAAAATAACATTCAGGTTTTAAGCTGATAAAGCTTCTGGAGAACCATTTGAGTGAGTAAAATGACATTTGGTGACTCATCTTTTTGTTTAGTTTTTTTGTAAAGGGCACTCATCTAGCCAAAGGCAAAATTGGACAAAGCTGTCTGTTTAAACAGTGAAAAACACAGATAAATGACGGTTTGATTAGATTTCATCAGCCGTTTAAATAATTAACATCTGTTCAAATGTGTCTGCCTTAATGGGAGTATAAATTACAGACTATGTAACACCTTTGTTTTTTCTAGTCTGCTTAATGTTAGTTTAAAATGTCACTTGCATCCTGCAGGAGCTTATTAGTCCCTTTCAATACAATTACTATCAGTTGGCAAAGAAGAGGGAAAGATGTAGAAAGCTGCAGCAGAATCAAATCAGAGTAAAATCCTTGTATGTACAAATTCAGTGCACAACATGATGGCCTGTGTGTTTCATAACATCAAAGCAGGGTTTGTGGAGTGAGGCTCAGCAAAGAGCAGCAGTGGATGAATCACTGCTTTGGGTGTGAAATAGGTATTTCTGACATTAGAGACACCCACTCGCCCGTTAGCCCACTCCGTGCTGCTCGCTGAACCACTCCACTTTGTAAAAAAACACTGTCATAATCTCGTGGAGCTGCGGAGTACTGTTTACAAGTCATAACCATCAGAGCTGTCGTCTTCATGTGCAACAAAACAGCTGCCTTAAACATGTAGTTGAAATTAAAATCTCATTGTTACAAATCTCAGAGGTGCAATTAAACACACAGCACTTTCACCCACAATCAGTTCGCGCCTCTTTAAGTTACGTACCATGTTGTATCATTACACCCAGTCACGTCACACTCCTTGTCGTAAATAAATGTTATAACAAAAAACCTAATCAATCATTGTCTTGATTGACTCAGACAGGAGGTCGCCCATCTGACACACCTGCAAGTGGTAAACTGCACCACTCCCTCCTTGTCTGCATCCGATTCTTTCTGTCTCTCATAAATCAGTGTCTGGCCTGATAAAAGGTCTCAGGGACTTGAGCCCCGAGTGGGTGGGGTCACCTCTTTGATGTTCATATTTAACAGGGGGCTGAGGAGGAACTTTGTAAATGGTCTGAACTTATATAGTGCTTTATGAAGTCCCTCCGGACCCCGAAGCACTTTACACTTACAGTCACTCACCCATTCACTGATGATGGTAAGCTACATTGTAGCCACAGCTGCCCTGGGGTGCACTGAAAGAGGCGGGGCTGCCATGCACCGGCGCCACCGGACCATCTGACCACCAGAAGTAGGCAAGCAGGTGAAGTGTCTTGCCCAAGGACACAACGACCAAGACCGCTGGAACGGGGGATCAAACCAGTGACCTTCCAGTYCCAGGACGAGTCCCACTCCGCCACAGCCACCCCCCATCATTTGTGAAGGATTCAGCATTTACACTGTTGTTTTCAAGTAATGGTGTGTATACATTTGTTTTCATGCTGATCAAACTTTGATAAAATTAAATTTTACATTGAAAGAACACCTGGTGTGAATAAAAGCAGACTCATATAAGTCAATCAGTTCCTTTYAAGGTCTACAATAGAAAAAAAATCACTCAAATAACAATTTGGCTGTAAGTGGCTTAAAAATATGTCATCTGATTTGATTGGACGGACTTTTTAGTGCTTGGAGCATTGTGGTTTCATTATTTTGTGACATTTTAAAKTCTGCAGCACAAAAAGAGTAAAATGTGTTTAATTTGTCAGAATTTATCTCCCTCAGACTTCTGTTATTCACCAAAACATAAAAACAAACTTATATTTTAAACCTTACAGGTGAGACCGTTTTCTTTACACACACACACACACACACACACACACACACACACACACACACACACACACTCGCGTTTCCTCACTGCTACGTTGAACCACTCATGCAAACAGCCTATCACTTCCTTGCTTTCACACTATTTTCTTTCCACACACACACACACACACACACACACACACACACACACACACACACACACACACACACACACACACACACACACA